GTAGTCCGTAGAAGATGCCAGCCACGAGAGCAACGGCTACTGCTCCTGAACCAGTAATCTGAGACGATATCCTAGAATTCCAACCAATAAGCATTTACATGAGCCTTTTTGTCCTACGACTAATCCCTATCGATAATGCAGCTGAGGATTCCAATAAAGGGCTATCTTCGTCCGAATTTCTTCTGACGGGAGTACTTCTTTCTTCAACGACAGCAACCTCCGCATTTGTAGGGAGGGTAACGGATGGCCGAAGTTGCGAAAAGAAAACTCCTCTGAACAGAACTGAGCATAATTGCAGGGATAACAATTAATATAACTCGGAAATTACTCACCCTAGTATGACCATTGATAAACCCAAATAGTTCAATAATGGGTGGTCGGGAACGGAGGCGTGGACACCGAACAAGCCAAATCTCAAAGTACAAAGCAATTAAGGAGCTGTGAAGCAAACATGGCACAAAGAGTTACAAGACATCTGTCAATCAAAGCTAGCCTAAAGTCATTTTCTTGTCCATTCTTGGGCTGGAACTCTGACGCTAGAAAGAGAAGGAGGAAAGGGGAAAGATGCAGTGTCGCCGGCAAAAGACGTCCTGGAATCCAAAACAGGCGGCTTCTCTTGCATCAGCGAGCATTACTGAAAGCTCAGCTGCGGACGCTAGGGCGTGTCAGAGGTAGGAAGGAGCGGGCTTAACGTGGCGCAAGCCCTTTTTCCACCAGTTATGGCGATTGCCAGCTGCTATAGAGCTTGCATTTAGCGCGGCGTTAAACCGAATAGCAAGATATCGCGTTTTAGCACCGCGCGAAAAGCAGCTCCAGCATCCGCACAAAACAAGGCAGTGATTACAGCCCTTCTGTATACAAGGTGACTCCGCCCTCGAATATGTGAACGTCGTATTCGACATGCAAAACCTACAGTATTATTCCTCGGAAAATAGGCTGGCTAAACTTTTAGATGGTAAACTTGAACAGCTTGCGCGTTAGCTCATAAAAACAAGATGATAAGTGTAACGTGAACTGCTACCTTCCTACGGCCCATCCACATACACAGTTTGTCGCTCCCCAAATCAGCATTCCCATTCCGAGACCAAGAACATTCATGATAGGCACAGCAGTAACATTACCTTTGAAGATTAAATATTGAACTAAGGTCTCATCTCAAATAACATCAACAAAATGATCATATATGTCTACTCTTCGATTAACTGTCAATTCTATCGCCGTCATGGAACTGAAGTGTTTCTTCGCACCTTCTTGAACAGCTTTCGGTGAGGAAACCCACATTGCGGCGACGTCACCTTTTGGTGGAGGCGCTACCGTAGAAGCTAGAATGATAAAACTTTCCGGCTCTGACCAGTCCCTTTCTAGACGCGTAACGGGTCGCACATGTATGAAAACATAGTGCAATCTGATCACACACAGTCCTTGCGCCAAGACGTTCGACATACAACTTTAGTGGCTTTCACCCTACCAGCCAACCTGTCAAACAAAATTTTCCATCTCTTTTCGAGGGCAGAGAGGCTCGGAAGTTTGAAGTGGAAGCTGCAACTTTGCGACCTAACGTGTAGGATCCGCACGCTGGCGTAAGCGCGCCTGGTAAGCTGGCCACTGATTGTTGCTAAACCATCTAGACTCTAAATGCTGCAGGCAACGAGACAACTAGCTAGTTTGCAACCTCGATCTCCCCACCAACTTCTTCCGAATATGGTTTGAAGCTCAGGTCAGAATATGGAGCCCCTTTGAGAAGCATTTTGGTTCTACTATCTCGCTCCAAACGACCTCTCAATAATCCATTTTTACTATACCTTTTACCCCTTCGAAGATGTGCGCCAACCCCGGTGCAAGGCGTTGCTTCCGGATCGCGAAATCGTGCGCACAAGCACAACTCTTTCTAGCTAGCTTACTGGGCAGACAAATGCATAGAGCTAGTCGACTTGAGGCAGCCACAGAGGAAGTTGACTCGTCGCAGTACTAGGGTCCTGGTCAGAATACCGCGTACGTCACCCAGCTTGCAACACCTATTCTGTCGCACATGGTGCAACTGGTCAGAACACCCCACACCCCGCAAAACCAACAGGAAATTCAACAATTCTGAAGTGCCTATTTCTGTCTAGGCACTGGCAACTAACAATTGAACCAGCATTCAAGTGAGCAGTTTCATTACAGAATGCAACCTTACACACGGATTTGACTGGAATGAAACTAAAACATACCTAGAGCCCATAGTACTCCCCCAGCCATTGCAAGAGGTTGAAATTTAGGGAACTCTTCGAAAGCATTTACTACCATCCCGACGGAAAGTATGCCGGCCGCCATGACCCATTGAACAAAGATTCCTGAAATTGCGAAGAATCTCATTTGCTCATACCTCAATACATTAGGAAGCGAACGAAGAAAACTGCCATGGTTTGAGCTAAAAACTCACCATTAGATGCATCAAACTTCTTTATGGGGACATATGCGCTTCCAAAAAAGACTGACGATACTGCACATGCTCCTAGGCCAACAGCTGTCGAACCCATCCCTGAAAAACGATATCCCGAAAGGAGAGCGTAAACAAAGCTCATTCCAAACGATATTTCTCGTTCCAACAATACCAGAGATCACTCCAATAAAACGCGGCACCACTGAATGAGTGTGGGGTGGGGGGATAGGGTGAGGGAGGAGGAGATACGCTGCGAAAACCACCATGATTGGCCATCCTTGGCTGAGTGTGCTAGGGAAAGAGTTCACCATTTCGTTGGGAGGACGCAGACTGGCGGACTTAGCCGCCTCGCCACGTTGCCCCCCCCCTACACCAACCCCAGTAGCACCCATATAATTTCATAGCTTTCAGTTTTTTGAGGTGCAATCA